TAGATGGTAAGTCCATAGTATACTTTGAAGTACAGCATTGTATTCAATCAGTACTATGATATATATCAAAGTACCATGGTTTTACCATCTACTATTATTGTACCATGGTATCACCATAGTTTGAGTAGAAAAAGGAAAGACAGATGGAGAGAGAATTTTCTTTAATAGCCTACTGTGTTTTTTGGACATACCGGTAGTTATGCTATGTTAATGACTGTATTGAAGTTCCTTGTATGTAAAAATACCATATATGAATATGGTATTCATTCGGTACTGTGGTGTTACTGTTTATCAAATCATGGCAAACCCATGGTGTTTTTTGTATTAGGAATCATAAGGAGAGTATATAAAAAGAGGTATATAATCAGATATACATAGAGTACCATGTATAACCATTTTTTTCGTACATTTACTATGGTTATACCATGTTTTTTTTTACATCTAACATGGTAATTCCATTGTATATCAAATACCTTGTATATATCATTGGATATGAATGTGGTAGTCAATCATCTAATGCCTTCATTGTACCATGGTATCGTCACAGTAAAAGTAGAAAAAGGAGAGACAGATGGAGAGAGAATTTTCTATAGCATGAATTTGGAATTAAACAGGAAGTAGAAAAGAGGGCGGGTCTGTGAGAAAGGGAATACACAAACAAGTGAGATAAAAGACAGGATAGGAATGAGCAAAACAAGAAATGGTGCCAAAGGGGGGTGGGAAATGAAGGCACGAGAGGAGAGTAAAGGAGGGATGAGAGATGGAGGGCGTGTAGTGTGGGAGCTCAGGGGAGAGAGAGAGAGGAGAGAAGGAGGGGAGATGTTGAGCTTTGTGGCTCCTCTGGAGGAATTATCTGTGTTGCCCCTTGGTGTGGTGGAAATACCACAGAGCCTCAAGCTAATGCGTCAAACTCAAAAACACTATCTCTGTCTCTCTGTATACATCATTACTCAGATATTTATGATCCTATATGAATTTAAATGCACACTCTAGGCACGATATGAAAGCAGAAAAGAGAACAAATGTATTTGGGAAAAAGCGGTTATCATCATATTCATCAGCATATTAGAATGATTTCTGAAGGATCATGTGACACTTAAATCGAAACAGAATCCTTCTTTAGAAAATTCACTAAATATTATATCTATGGATCAAACTCCTATAAAACCTACTAGCCAGGTTAAGTATCTTGGCCTTTGGCTTGACTCTGATCTTTCTTTCAGCACTCATGTGCATAATATAACTAATAAGCTCAACTGCTCACTTAGAATTGTATACCAATCAATTAACTTTTTTAACTATTCTGTCAGAAAAAGAATTGTTTCTCAACTTCTATTGCCAATCTTGGATTATGCTGACACTGTGTACCAAAATACTACTGCTCCCTGCCTTCAGTCTCTTAATATAGTTTACAATAGACTGTGTAGATTTATACTCCGCTGCCCCTACAGAACACACCATTGTGAAATGTACCATCAACTGTCCTGGCTGACCCCACCAGATAGAAGGCGTTTTCATTGGTTACAATTGATTTTTAAATGTATTTATATGGATTACCCTGCTTATTTAAAAAAGTATTTAATTCCATTTAGGTCATCTCATAACTTGCGTCATAATAACCAAATTTATTTTTTCATTCCTCAGATCAATAAAAAAATAGGAAGATATGCATTTCAATTTAAAGCACCATACGAATAGAATAACCTTCCAATTTCAATTCGCTCTTTAACTTCTTTTTCAATATTTAAGAATCACCTAGCTCAACATCTTCTGAATATATGTAATTGCTTTTTATTTGAATTTTTAAAAAACATTTTTTTTGTAACCTATTTTTGGCATGGTACATACATTTTTGTCTGTATATGAGTTTATTTGTGTCTAGATGTGTGTTTTGGTACATATTATATGTGTTTACTTTGTTTAGGGATGAGTGTGTCACCTTTAGAGAGCCTTGGATGAGTGAATGTCTTGTTTGTATTGGTTTTGTTTATATATTTCTGTATTTACCATTATTGTAAAGTATGTTGTTTTTTTCTTATTGTGTATTTGTTTTTTGTTTTGTTTTTTTCTGTTTTTGTTTTTTTGTTATGTCATATTTGACACGTGTTGTAAGGTCAGTTTTTGTATCTAGATTTGAGGACCCCCTCGAAAACGAGATATTTCATCTCAAGGGGTTATTCCTCCTCAATAAAATAAATGTCAAATAATAATTATATATTTTGATCAAATAAATGCAGCCTTGGTGAGAATAAGAAACTTGCTCTTTCTGACTGTAAACTTTTGAACAATAGTGTATATTAATAAACTATGCTTATGTTTGAGATTGAATACACTGAAAAGGATGATGTGCTGTATGTAGTACAGTGAGGTTGGCTGCGTTTCAAATTTCACTGCAAAGAGCCGGTTGATGTTTTTAGGGTTAATGTACTCTAAATGAGGTTTCTGAACATTGTAAAATGAGGTCAAGTGCTCGAGTGGGGTTAGGTATGTTGTAATGTGTGCTTCTGCTTTGAATTTGAAAGAAAAGCACTTCGAAAGCTCAGCTCTCTGAGTGAGATCAGTAAAGATCAAGCTAAGGGTTAAGGGAAGGGTAATGTGTGTGGAAATGAGTGTGTGTGTGTGTATGGAATAGTAAAGACCGTTGGGGCATTTGTTCACTGTATAATATAAAACAGCCTAGACCAGCACATTTAGTTTAAAGGGTGTGCGTGAATATTTGGTCTGCATAAGCTTACAATAGAACTATGTGTATGTATACATTACACACCAGTGGAACATTATATCACTTCATCTTTGTGTGTGTGTTGTGTATGCGCATCACGACTCAAGTCTCCTGCTTGTCGACCTTGTAGCCGTGAACTTGTTTATAAAAGGCATCATCTGTGTTTTGGTTGATTCTGTCTGAAGCTGTCGCCACCGGTAAAACACTTAGGCCCCGACTGTTGCCCATGGCAACGGTTGCCCCTGTTCATATGACACTGCAGCCAGCGAGCAACCAATGAGAGTGTTTTGCTGGCTCAGGGTGACCAGTCAGAGGAGGAGAAAGAGTTGATGTCACTTGTTCTTGGAAAGATACTTGAGTGTAATTTACAGGTGTCTGTGATGTTAAGAGCCATTTTCTGTTATGTAAAAAGACTGCACTGACACTGACTCATTGACTCATTACAGTGTACAAGTGTGCATCAAGCCCTTCTCAAAGCAAGCCAGTCCACTCGACGGCCACCTTGGTAATGCTGTTTACTGCCGGAACCGTCTTAGACACTAAGGGGAGCACTTATAACCAAATATTCAGAAAAAAACCATTATATATATACTGTATGAAGTGCACTGTGAAGTACAATATAAAGTCTCTTATTATCAAAACAGTATACAGCAACATTGTAAAATATTACAATTTAAATGAATTGTTTTCTAAAATATCATTTATTCCTGTGATGGCACAGCTGAATTTTCTGCAGCCACTACTTTGATGAATAGAAGCTTCAAAAGATCAGCATTTAAACTACATTTTTTGTAGCAAAACTAAAAGTCTTTACTGTCACTTTTATAAAATGCCATGTACAATCTTATACAAATATATACATTTTATCTTGTCAGATTAGGCTATAAAACTATATATTTTTTCTTTTTCTAATGTGCCTGTTTTTTTCTAGAATAAAGCTTGACATAAAGCAAAAAACAAGATTTCCTTTACTACTGTAAGTTGAATGATTTCTTTGTTTCGTCCTTATACTGTCTGTATAGGTGTACAGTGCATTTCTTTGTTTGTATGCATTTATAAATATATAAATATATGTCTATCTCTTTTGTGTGATGTGGACTGCAGAGAGGAAGAGGGTTTGGTGTGTGTGTGTGTGTGTGTGTGTGGAGCTCTGCATGTGTAATGATCCATGAGAAAAAGGCATGCATGAAAGAGATGGCAGAACAGAGGGGATTTGCATATAATAGTGAAGTGATGAGAAAGAATAAAGATGCATTTTTTTTCAGTTTTGTAATGCATATTTTTTTGTTAAGAAAAAAATGCACGTCGGTTGTAGTAATCCTTCACAATAATAAAACTTGATATTAAAATAGAAAATATATATTAAAAGAGAAAACAATGATTTTAAATTGTAATATTCACAATAATATTTCGCAATTTTACTGTGATGTTTATATGGACGATGTGCTTATATTATAAGGATATTAAGCAGCATAGCAATTTTTTTTTACATTGAAAATATGATAAATATTTCTTGAGCAACAAATCAGCATATTAGAATGATTTCTAAAGGATCATGTGACATCATGAGGAATAATTGCCATCACAGGATTAATCACAACTTTGAAATATATATTAAAATAGAAAAAAGTTATTTTAAATGATAATAATATTTCACAAAATAAAACTTTAAAATATGTCATTTTACATTGTCATATTTCACAGTATTACTGTTATGTTTATATGGTCGATGAGCTTATATGATGTTTAATTGAGAGGGGAAGAGAGTGAGAGAACAGGACAGGAGAGTGATCTACAGTAATAAAAAAAAGGTACCAAAAGTATCTTTTTTAGCATACTTGCATTGCATTAAGAATTGCATTCAGACACATTTCCAAACGCAAAATCAAGCATGCATACAGTAGCTAGAAACATTAGGGCCAGATTTACAAAACAGGGCAAATTAGCGTGAGAGCAATTCCAAGAAAGCGCAGATGGGAGTGGAAAGTTCTGTGCGTGAATGACTTATGAAGCGTCACATAATAGTGTCTGGTTAAAAACATGCTTTTTTTGGGCTGTAAATAATGGCGCAAATACCAGTAAATTGATGAGGGCAAACCTTAGTAAATCACCTTGCATGATTCATTTAAATACACTCCTCCCATAACTCCAACAAATGCATATCCAATAAGGGCAGCCGCAAAAATAACCCTGTCCACGCCAAAAGAGGGTTTGCACGGGTGCAAGCTGTTAGTAAATCTGGCCATTAGTGTTAACATACATGTACACAAATATTTACCGTCACATTTGTCTGTTTCCTTCCCGCTCTTCCCTGTGCTGAGCCCAGTGTTGACGGTCTCTGAGGAAGTGCTGAGTTTGGTGTTGGGATCTCGTCTGGGTTTGGGCGGGGGCTGTTTTCGTGAGGTGGGACTCCCCTCCTCCTCTCCCCCTCCCACCGAGTGCAGAGACTGTGAGCGTACGGTGAAGCCCAGGCCGCAGGGAGGAGGAACGCGGTCCTGAGGGGCCGGCATCGTCATGAAGCCCATACGAAAGTGTTTGCCTGCATATCCCCCTCCTTCTGTCGCACGGGCCACATCCTCACCAATCCTGAAGACAGATTGAATTTATTTTAGCATTTCACAAAGTATTACATTTGCATCCAGCCATGGCTCCGCCCATCTATGAACTTTTGACCCCATAGACTTGCTGAAACCTAGATGGATTTCAGCATCCATCAGACCAACGTTCAAGAATAGAGAAAATGTTTTCGTTTCTTGCTTCAAAATGACCGAACACCAGTATTCTGTACTAATCCAACATTCATTAATGTGGATAAAGAATACAGCACACAAACAAACATGAACATAGTACAGGTCAGAGCATTGGTGTTGAGATTTAGGACCTGAAAAATCCTCATGCAAATGAAATTGAAAATGTAGGCTATGTGTTGTGGTCTATTAAACCCTGAACTGAACTTGTATTACTATGCTACGCTATATGCTATGCTATGCTACGCTATGCTATGCTATGCTATGATACGCTATGCTACACTACACTGCACTGCACTACACTATACTATACTATACTATACTATACTATACTATACTATACTATACTATACTATACTACACTAGTATACTATTATATGCTATATACATACATGTTTACACCACCGTTCAAAAGTTTGGGGTAAGTTCTCTTTAAAGAAATGAAGAAAATAACTTTTGTTCAGCAAGGATACCTTAAATTGATCAAAAGTGACAAACACATTTATAATGTTACAAAAGATTTCTATTTTTAAATACATTTTGTTTTTTTGAACATTCATCAAAGAATCCTGAAATATTAAGTGGCATATCTATTTTCAGCATCAAATCATCATATTAGAATGATTTCTGAAGGATCATGTGACACTGAAGACTGGAGTAATGATGCTGAAAATACAGCTTTTTGCCAGGAATAAAATGACATTTTAAAATATATTAAAATAGAAAACAGTTATTTTAAATCGTAATAATATTTCACAATATTACTGACTTTGCTGTATTTTTAATGAAATAAATGCAATCTTAAATGTAAGAATGTTACTGTGGAAAGGCGAATTCACTTCGTCCATCTATCTGTTCCCTCATAACTTCATGAATCTATCTTGCCTAAAAGTCATTTCTGCATAATACAATTCAGAGCAATTTGGCTGGATTTTAAGATGATTTCTGCGCCGAATATCCCATAAAAATTGAGTTACTTTCATCTGTCTGTTCATGAGTAAGTGTGTGAGCGAGAGAGAGAGAGAGAGAGAGAGAGAGAGAGAGAGAGAGAGAGAGAGAGAGAGAGAGAGAGAGAGAGAGAGAGAGAGAGAGAGAGAAAAGGGGGCAGTCAGTTCAATTGCTGTCTCTCAAATTCTCTCTCTCTCTCTCTCTCTGAGGAAAACTAATCATACTAAAGGGCAGACAGGATTTACTCACGTTCTCTTTAAGTAACCATTCACACACACACACACACGCACACACTGCGAGTGTGTAATCAGAGGGGAGGGTGTGGTGCTGTGGTGGCTCATAAAGAATGATTGAGAGTCTGTCTGCCAACTTCACTGCACCAGCGTCCCTCATCTCTACACATCCTCTCTCCTTCTCTATTTCCATCCTTTCATACATGTGTTGTCATCTGTCTTGTCTTTCTTGTACAGTCTGCAATTTTTCCCTCCCTCTCAGTTGTCACACTTCTCACAGTCTTGAGTGGCCAGTCATTTGGAGTCATGCCTTTTTTTCCCCGTATCTCTTTTCACATTACATTAAAATGCCGATTAATGTGATGAAACAATTAACATTGCAATGCCCATGACAAACCCCCCCCCAAAAAAAATTCAAATAAATGCTGTTCTTTTTTGCAAAGAATGCTAAAAAAAATGTGTCATGGCTTCCACAATACTATTAAGCAGCACAACTATTTGCAACATTGATAATAATAACAATAAATGTTTCTTGAGCAGAAAATCAACATATTAAAATGGTCAGCACTGGCTTTTAAGTGTGCTTTAGAAAAAAAAGTGCCTTGTCTAATGATTTCTGAAGGATCATGCGAAACTGAAGACTGGAGTAATGATGCTGAAAATGCAGCTTTAACATCACAGGAATAAATTACATTTAAATAGTAGATGGTTCTTTTAAATTGTAATAATATTTCACATATTACTGTCTAAATTAAAAGTACCAACGGTGCTTTTGAACGGTGGTGTACTAGTCTGCTTTTTTGTATCACAGAAAGAGACTAAAAAACAAGTATGTTGTCCTTCAAACCCCCCTGTCTTAAAAGCCTACACATTCCTCTTTTATCCTCAGAAAAATATGCTGCATCATTTCAGTAGACTAGCTCATTATGGTGACTCGATCACCTCACTGATGGATGTTCACATTAGCGCATTACTATTCCTGCTGACAACACCAGCTTAGACCAGCATGAACTCCTACAGTATGTTGGCAGGCTATAGTTTATAATGGCTAGTTCGGTGCTTGTCTGTGTGCGTAGGAGTGTGAGGTTTCGCCTAGGTTGTGTGGAGCAAATGTCCCCCACAAGGTAGTAAAACCAGAAATCACTTAAATTGTGGGAAGAAAAATAGCTTAATAAACATAATAAATAATGTCTTAAAGAAAGTGCTGAAAGGTTTGTGTGAGGGATTAAAGGTAGAGGGTTAGGGGATATAAAATATCATTCACTCAGTATAATTCAATAGATGGATTTATAGGGATCGACAGAATATCAAACGTGTGTATGTGAAGGGTTAAAGGTCATGAGAATAGCAGTTAAGCTTGGATTTCTAAAGCTAATGGATTTAATGGAAAGAGTTAGCAGTGACTAGTTTGCCTGTATAGATACAGAGGATGCATTGATTTTTGCATGCTACAATGAACACGAAATATGATGAAAATGTGTGAAATATTGTATACACACACACATGCATCGGATCTTTTAACAGTATTGACCGTTTTATCTTTCTGTTACAAACACAAAATAGTCTCAATGGATGCAGAGAAGCAGGTACTGTATGCCTGAAGCCGCTCTGTATGCTGTGTGTGTGTGTGTGTGTGTGTGTGTGTGTGTGTGTGTGTGCAGTACTGTGTTATGTGGGTCTGTATTGATCAGAGCTCAGTAAATAAACTTGTCTTTGCCTGTCTAGCGGTTCATACCCATCAGCCCTGCTCTAATACATCAACCTCTCATCCTTGTCTCCAATCTTTATCCTGCAATATTTTTAATCAGTCATTTTTAAATATTTTGTCAGCCTCTCTCTTTCTTTTCCACCCCTTTCACCTTTTCATCCAGAGACAGCTCTCTAAAGTGATATGACTGTTATCCTCTCTCATCCTTCTACCAAGGTAATGCATCAGAGTGACCTTTTCTTGACCTTCACTGATATGTCAATGCCCATGTTACTGATCTGAGGATGTCTAGATTGTTTCCTCAAAGACTGTAGCATTTTACCATTTGTTTTTGTTGTTGATGTTTACGTCAGGTCGCAGGGACACTGTTTATGACAGCGTAGACGATACCATTGAGTGCGGTTTGCGTTAGACACTAAATTGCTTTCAGGGCTTCTGGCTGCTGCTATGGAAACCATGTAAAAACTATTTCCAGGAAATTTATTGAACATGAATTGTCATTAATATCTGGAAAGCTTTGTTAGACAGTTCACCCACTCCCTCTACAATACAGTAAAGATGCACACACACACACACACAGACACAGACACAGACACACACACACACACACACACACACACACTACTTCTACTACTACTACTATGACGATTCTAACAACTGTCAAGAAATGCCCAGGTTATTATTTATCCCAAAATAAAATATAAGGACGACTTACTTGAGCAGGACGTTTCTCAGTGATACGCTACTCAGTTTGTCGTAAATTATGAGATGTTGCAACCGTAATTCCTCACCAGAGCAGAAAACAGTGTCTTCTCGACATGTACACAACACGATGCTATAGTGATTTAGGGCAGGTCAAAGTAGACGTTGTTTGAGGGCAGCTAATGAAGACTATAGGCTATTAGCCTACTAGTAGAAGACTAGGCTAGTAGTTATAGTACCCAAGCACCAGCGACACTGGATCTAACCCAGGGTGGACTAGACTAACCGCCAGTGTTATGGATCCACAACTGAGGTCAGTGCGAGCGGCGAGTAGGTCTAGTCCAGTGGTCCCAAGTCCAAGTCTGGTGGTCCCAGAAGTCATCCCATTATCCACACTGCTTCTAGACCACCGCTTGTGAACGCTCTTCCTGCCATGTCATGCCCATGGAGGCCATTCACGGACTGTCTATGCCCCATGTCACGGCTAGAAGGACTTGCCTGATTCTTGTTCCACCAGTACCGCTCTGATGGTTTCCTTCTCCACTGGCCTCACCACGACCACCTGATCTTCCATGTTTTGGTCCTTCACCCCATCTTCCAGACATGGGCCTGGCCCTCCATTCCTCCCCCTGGACCTCCTCTGCTACGCCACCCTCCTGGACTTGTTGTGTTTTGTTTGGCTGTCTGGAGCAACCCATAGTTTTGGTTTTGTTGATGTTTTCTTGTCATGTCATGTGATTCTTTTGTTCCTCAAGTGATCATGTCATGTGCTGCCCTTAATTGGTTCATCTGTTATGTTTTCATTGGTTGTTCTAGTCGTGTGGTTCTCTTTTCTGTTTTGTCATTGGCTAATTGTTCATTGCTTTTAGGTGTGTCTTAAGTCATTAGTCGATATATATATATATATATATATAGCCCTCATATTCCCATTGTCTGGTGTCTAGCTTTGTTTCTGTATCTGCTGTTTTGTGACTTTATGTTTGTTCAAGTTTAGTTCATGGTTTAAGTCTTTGTTTATTTTGCATTTGTTTTGATCACGTTTTGTTAAATAAATCTGAGCATGGGTTCAGTTCAACTTGCCTCCAGTGGATTCATTACCTTTATTATTATTTTGAGTTTACAAAATGAACATTTTCATTACTTCATTACAGTAATGATATAAAAAATGATATTAATGTTATGAAAATAAAGTGACATTGGAAAAAAGCTAAATTATCCTAAAATACACTTCATTGTTTTTTTAATGTATAATAATTTCTTATTTTCAGGGCGAAATATAACCTGGACATTTCTTTGTGAGATTCACCAACCTGTTTTAACAGCACAACAAAGAAAGTTTGCTTGTCTTAATTGAAGTAGGGTATATAAAAACTATACATAATTGTTTGCTTATAGAGAAACATTTGTAGGTGTATCTATAGAACATTTGTGCATATACATTCCTATTCATTTCCCAATCCAATCATATTCAAATTCATTTTGAGCCTCATCAACATGCACACACTCATATATGAGAGTGAGGTGAGTTATAACAGGATTTATGGTATTATAGGTCCCTTAAGGTCATCAGATCCTTGTGTGTCCTTGAATGGGTTTCTCTATGTGTGTGATAACAGTTGAGTGACACATACAAACCTGCTTTTTGTTGTGTGTTTCAAGGGAGTGTGTGCATGTGTCCTCAGGGGCCAGCAGTCTAAATTTAGAGACAAGAGGGAGACGAGGACCAAGCCCACTGTTGCCATAGAAACTCACCCCTCTGTCTCCATGGTGACAGACCTGTTTTTTCCCTCTCCAGTCTAAGGAGGTGTGACTTTAGGCCCTCCCACTTTCAGTGTTTATATGTGTGTGTTTTGATCCTCTTTAATGAGTTATATTAATGAAATTGCATCTGCATTCTGTAATCCTGATTGTTTAATCTCACTAAAACACCTCCAAGAGAGAGACAAACCACAGACGAACTAGATCACTCAGTGTGTGTGTGTGTGTGTGTGTGTGTCATTGACCTCCTCTCCTCATGAAGAACACCCCACTTACGCCCCATTACTGTTGTAAGAGGACCCAAGCTGTATGAAAAGAGGGCAACCACTCAGACCTCTCAGAGAGATGCTAAAGAGGAGGAAAGAATCTGAGGTTCGATTACAGGGTACAAACAGGAGGAAATGTAGGGTTAAAGGGGAAAATGAGGGGGTTGAGAGGACAAGTTGCTGATAAAGAGAGAGCGGAAGGATAAAAGAGGAATGAAGCAGGCAGGGAGAGTAAAGGAATGTGAAATGAAAGTCAAGTCAAATTAAATAGCGCTTGTTTCATGATGTTGTTTATAATATCTTAATATCTTCATGCCTTATTATGGGTGAGATTTCAGACTATAGTCTCTATCGGGGTTACGCAGACGTGACGTTCCCGTGCTGCGCCGTCACGAAAGCTTATCATTTAAATGCATTTTTAAGCCTCGTGGTTTAAAAACAAGTGATTTTAAACCATTCAAGTGCAATAAGCAGCAAAAGAGAACTCATTTCGGCATATATTTCGGAGCGCACACACCTGAAATGCACGCACATAAAGCCGCTGTATACGAGTATTGAACGGAGTTCGGTCAAATACACACCTAGGTGTCAAAATCCATTGCAGTTCTATTGTAGTTTTATGTCCTATTGACTGTTTACTTGCCTTTAGTAAGCTTTTTTTTTTTAACTTATGTTAGTTAGGCCAGTATTAGTCTTTTTTAGTATTAGTGATATTGAAGTTGGAGATTTATGAAATTTCAATGGTAGCAAAAATCAATGGTATCCAAAAAAAAAAACTGTGAATAACAATAGGCTATATATAGTTATCGTGAAATAAAATGACTCATATCGTGATATAAGATTTTGGTCATATCGGCCACCCCTACATTTAGTGATATTATAATATATTTTAAATTTTGCGACGATACAAGCAATCAAGCAGTTGAGATATGCTATAGTATATATCGCCCTATGCAAGTACACTGTATTTATGTGGATAATGTTGAGCATACTTGTATATCCAACTTATATCCCAAAAATCAGGCTGTTAAGATTATTTGCTAGTATATATCTCTATGTGAATATACTGTATATATGTGAATAAAGTTGATACAATATATATCCAACTTAAGAGCTGTGTGATAAATAATACAGTTTACATTTTGTGACGATATAAACAATCATGCAGCCGAGATTTGCTATGTATAATTAGACTTGGATATATGTTATTTGAATATCAGTTAATATAATTTAATAAACGTTTCCCCTCAGAAATACATCACTACTGAAGTTAAATGGGTTGCATACAGCATTTTGTCGATCCAAATTTAGCTACATAGAAGTCAAAACAACAATAAAGGAGAATACAAATGCAGTGGAATATAATTACACACACAAACTCACACCTCGGGCCGCTGTTAGATAAATCAGAGCATCCTTTTGTGTCTGTCTTTTATTAGATTGGCTGAAACGTCTGTTCTAAATTACTCTCTGTCGTTCCCTTTTCACACACACACAGACACACACACACGCACACACACACACACACACACACACACACACACACACACACACACACACACACACACACACACACACACACACACACACACACACACACACACACACACACACACACACACACACACACACACACACCATAATGGCCAACGGTTTTCATTGACTCTGTGTTTGTCTCTCTAATATCCAGCTATTTCCTCATCGACTTTATGAGCTCAGGACCAGTGACCTTTATCTCCCTGCCTCTCTCGTTCGCTCTCTCTCTCTCTGCTCATGTGGCCGACTAACAAATGTTAAAGAGCACAACATACTAGTGGCATTAATATTAACTAGACGTTTACATTTTCTTAAGAAATTGTGAGTGGTGCTGGTTCATTAAGAAACTCACTGACATGATGTCGAGGTGCAATGTGGCTGTGAAAGAAGTGGTTCTTAACTGGGGGCCGGGGCCAACTTGGGGGCCTCAGGATGACTTAAAAATATTTAAATTAATAAATTATTATTAATACATTCTTAATAATCTCACTCTAATATATTTTATTGAAGGGTTTATAATTCTGAAATACAGAACATCACTTCTGTCTTACTTCACAAAAAATAAACAAATAAAGACATTTCTATATATAAAATGAATTAACCATGTTCATTTAATATATCAATAAAAAAGTTAGCATATATGCGTGTCGGACAACAGGGGCCTTCCAGTTAAAAAGGTTGAGGCATTCAGGGTGGTTGCTAAGGTGTTGCTAGGGTGTTCTGGGTGGTTGCCAGGTCTCCATGATATTCTAGTTCCTAAATATCCTTCAATGTGCATTTCTGCCTATTTTATTGTTTGCCAGGTGAAAATGATAAGTCTGATCACTTTAATAGCTAGCAAAAACCGTGCAGGACGAGCACTGTTCAAATCCCTAAGTATGTACAAGAGTAATAGCCAATAGCATTAATTATGTGCAATATTCACATTTATATCAGTCTATCTCTGGCCATGAGTGTGTACCTCTTGATAGCTTCCTCCTGCCGTCTCTTCTTCTGGTTTTTCTCCTGTAGGTATGTCCATTGTGTGTGGTTGCGGACACGGTCGCTCTCTCGAGCGATGTCGGAGGCGTTCTGGATAACCAGCTCGTCATACGCCCTCAGACCACTGTCCTCCACGTACTGTAGGAAACGGGTGCACTCGTCTTCCCCTGAATCCATCCTTCAGCACAGCAGAGAGACTGCCTGACAGACAGATGAAGAGAGAGAGAGAGAGACATGAGTGTCTCACACACAATGTCATACTGTCCTCTTGAGAGCTTGTTCTTTATATAAAAACACAATGAACTTCGGAGGTACAGGTGGGACGTATGCGCGCACACACACACACACACACACACACACGCACACACCTCCACACACACACACACACACACACACACACACACACACACACACACACACACACACACACACACACACACACACACACACACTAGCATGTGTTCTCTGGGGAATTTGTTATCATTTAACACTGAAAAGCATGATTCACTGCAGGGAAAGGGCAAGAGCTAGCATGTTTAACACACATGTTTACATATTATTTATATATACAGCTAATTATAATCTCTACTGACAAACAAACCCTAATATAATAAAAGCACATTATTCACTTTGTTTGTCTGTTTTATCTTTCCATCCATTGTTCTATCTATCTATCATCTATCTATCTATTATCTATCTATCTATCTATCTATCTATCTATCTATCTATCTATCTATCTATCTATCTATCTATCTATCTATCTATCTATCTATCTATCTATCTATCTATCTATCCATCCATCCATCCATCTATCATTCCATCCATCTATTGTTCAGTCCATCCATCCATCGTTCTGTCTGTCTACTTATCACAAACTTCTGGTAATAATTTTGCCCACAAAGTATATAAACCGGTTAAGTCAATCCATCCCGTCATCATCTATCCATCTATTGTTCAGTCCATAGATAATGTAGATAGACATGGATGGAAGGATAGATAAGACAGACAAACAAAATGAATAAAGTGTAAAGTGAATGTCTGTCTTATCTATACTTCCATCCATCCATGTTTATCTATCTATCTATCTATCTATCTATCTATCTATCTATCTATCTATCTATCTATCTATCTATCTATCTATCTATCTATCTATCTATCTATCTATCTATCTATCTATCAGTCAATCCATCCATCCATCCATCCATCCATCTATACCTCCATCCATCCATCTATACCTCCATCTATCCCTCCATCCATCTATTGTTCAGTCAATCCATCCATCCCTCCATCTATTGTTCAGTCAATCCATCCCTCCATCCATCCATCTATTATTCAGTCATCATCCCTACATCATTCATCCATCCTCCATCCATCCCTCCATCCATCCATCCATCCATCCATCCATCCATCTATTATTCAGTCAATCATCCCTACATCATTCATCCATCCTCCATCCATCCCTCCATCCATCCATCCATCCATCCATCCATTCATCTATTATTCAGTCAATCCATCCCTTCATCATCCATCCATCCATCTATCTATTTTTCAGTCAATCCATCCCTTCATTATCCATCCATCTATCTATTGTTCAGTCAATCCATCCCATCATCATCCATTCATCCATATATTGTTCAGTCCATCCATCCATCCATCCATCTATCCCTTCATCATCCCTCCATCCATTTATCCATCTATTGTTCAGTCCATCCATCCATCCATCCATCTATCCCTTCATCATCCATCCATCCATCCATCCATCATTCTGTCTGTCTACTCATCACTAACTTCTGGGGACAATTTTGCCCACAAAGTATATAAACCGGTTAAGACTAGTAAGATCAGTCAGTTACTTAACATTACATGCAAACAGTGGTAACATCTGGCCCAACATTATGTGCCACTTTCAGGTCTTATTTCATCCTACTGTTTTTTTTCTACATGGTCTTGAACACTGCACTATACATTGAGATAAATCATTTTCAGCCTGTGGTTGTGAGAGAGAGGGAGAGTTTATTTTTACAACTTTGTGAAGATCAGTCATCCAGTGCTCTGTTCTCTGTTGTATTATTCAGGATGTCTTTATATATACTCTGATCTCAGATTGTCTCCCTCTCTCTCCATCCCCTTCCTCAGCCACAACCCCACTTACTCATCTGCCTTTCCTCCATTAAACATCTTCCACACACTTCTTTACACAGCCATGAGAGCGAGCAAACACACACACACACACACACACACACACACCTGCACATGCCCGTAGATGCTAACATAAACACTTTTACTTACACAGGGACACACAGCTGTATTCTATAAATGGAATGTGAGGAGAAGGAACTGGGTTTCCAGGCAACAGTATCCTAGTGCGCTGACATAATGCAGGAAGCTGGGAAGCTAATTCTGTGCTGAAGATGCATTAGTTCCGCTTTACACTGGCAGGCGTGATATCCCTACCATGTGTGTGTGTGTGTGTGTGTGTGTGTGTCTGGTGTAATGCCGAAAGCATGAAACACGATATTCTTCTCCTCTACTCTGTAGATGTTTGCTGCAGATGGATCATGTTTTTAGGATTATGTTTTATAACTATTTGTGTATGTGATTGTATGGATTTTAATAAAACATCTAATACTAAGTCTCTTTTTTCAGAGTGATGAGGTGGCAAGATGCCATATTCCCATTGCTGGCACACACACACACACACACACATGCACAAAATAGGTCAGCGAGACCACAGCGCCACATCAATGGATCTCGGTGAGTAGAGTTTAGCATTCATTTCATTAATTTGTAATTCACCACCACAACATTAACAGTGCCAATTCATAACTAAGGCATAGAAATAGCCTTCAAACACACACAACAGGCCAAATGTGAGTAGATCCAGAACCATTAAAACACAAGACAGTCCATGAACCATGACTGGAACCATGAAAATACACCAATAACCAATCAGATGTAGCGATTCTCACAAGGCACACTCTCATTTGGGATAGCTCACCCAAAAATAATGTCGTTCCAAACCTTTTTGACTGTATTTCTTCTATAGAAAAAAGAGAAGATATTCTCAAGAACACTGAGGTTCTAACAACATTTGACTTTCATTGTATGGACCAAAAACACTGGTAATTTTTCACATTCAGAATATCCTCATTTATATTCCACAGAAATGTCTCTAATAAAGACAGTCAAACAGGTTTGAAATGACTTGAGAGTAAATAACATTGTAGTAATTTCACTGAAATTTGTAAGATGGATCTCAAGCTGTACAGATGCCAAAAAAAGAGGTTGAATCATGAATTAATGAATCTGAAAATGTTGATGGGAATTGTGGGTAATATGGTGATTTGGATCCCAAACAATCCGTTGATGCTCAGTTTGACTCTTTCTGTCACAAGGATGATGAAGAACTGATGAAGATAAGGAAAAGGAAAAGATGTCATTATGAAAAAAAAAACCCATCTGGATGGAGACACACACATGGTTACACTCACGGTATCAGTGAATCGGAACAGCTGATCTCCAGGTGTGTTCTGTGTGTGCGTTTCTCAACACCGCACGTTACCGAATCCCCCTGCGGACACGCACACGGCTGACAGACAAGCCCGGCGACAGCGACGCGGCTCGGAGGAAGCAGACACTGCCGTGAGGAAGAGGGAGATGAAGGACATGTCCATCTTTGGCGTTTCCAGAGCTCTGAAGAAAACTGTCCGACCCTTGCCCACCTACGACCGCTCCTGCTGGGCTACGGCCACCAAGGCTGTCCCCTCCCCTACCAAACGCTTCTGGAATGATCCACACCTCCCTTTGGTGGTTGTTTCATCTGCGCTGTCCCCACACACGCGTGGTGTGTGTGTGTGTGTGTGTGTGGGGTGGGCTGCGTGCAGATGCGCGTAGTATGAGCGTGTTCTCCTTTTGCCGGCTGCAGTGTGTGCGTAGAGATGTTAGGCTGCTAAATGCATCGTGTCCTACAATCTCTTTGATCCGTCCTCCCCTGCTGCTGCTGCTGCCGCGGTTGCCGTCACACACACACACACACACACACACACACATACACACGCGCGTCACACACACGCAGCGATGAACCCAGCTCAGGCTTCGGTAGCCAAAGAGAAGAGCTATAGCATCTGTCTTTTCTTGAAGTTCCTCTATCCTTTTTCTCTCTCTCTACCTTCTTTTTTGCTCTCTGATCTCCTTCCCTCCAGCTCTCTCCAACCCTCACTGCTTACTCACTCCATCCCCTGGTGAGCTTCTCTCTCTCTCTCTCTCTCTCTCTCTCTCTCTCTCTCTCTCTCTCTCTCTCTCTCTCTCTCTCTCTCTCTCTCTCTCTCTCTCTCTCTCTCTCTCTCTCTTTCTCTGCAGCCCCTATGTCTCTCAACCAATCGTGTTGCTCGCTTAGCTGTCCATGGTTCTGAAAGAAAGAGAGAGTGTGAGTTAGAATGGTTGTGTGTGTGACAATCCTCTCTTGAGGACATGACCTCTGCCCTTACAATGTTATCACCAGGGCAACTACACTGCCTGATGCAAAACACTCAAAAGGCAGTCAAATATGGGTGTATGTATTTGTGTTTTGGTGTTTAATGATGATGTAATTTCTGCACTAAAAATAATGGCTGTTTTCAAACAGGTTTTCTGATTCTGCCATTAGTCAATCAAAGGGGGGTTGCTTCAACCCGTGGGGAAGAAAAACAACCTACAGCAACAGTGTAAAAGTAGCCCAATTCTGCCGGAAAACCCACGGCTATAAAATATGCCCTAAAATACTATAGCTTTGCTTCAGTAATATTTGTATGTTGTGTTAGTACACTTGACATCTTTGCTTGCCTCTCCTCTCCTCATTCTCTAATTTTTCTCATCTGTTCTTTCTTCCTTTCTTTTATTTGTCTCAGTGTACCAGTGTGTAGTTTACCAGTGTAGAGGTGTGTGTTGGTTTCTGTGTATGGAATGAATGGCCATCTGGGAAATTTTGTCCATCAATAACTCGTCCCATGACATTATAACACACACTGTACACACACACACTCACACACACGCACGCACACGCACGCACGCACGCACGTAAACGCACACACACACACACGCACACGCACACACACACACACACACACACTAGATATGTGTCTCTTTTGTGTTCAGAACTAGCTAACATTAGGAGCTGAATAGAGATAACAGATCACTTTCTTTACCTGCCGGAGTAAAGGCAGGAGATAAAGGCTGCACACGGATAAATGGAGGAGCGAGACACCCACGTTGACTATTGTATTCACACACACTTCTTGCTTGAGAATTCTTCAATAGAAGGAGCACATTCCACAGTTCTGAACTATACGTCAGCTTATTTGAATACAAGCGCACTTCCTGTTGTCACAAGAAAACGTTATAGAGACTCGCTGAAGAGGCACAGGCACACACACAGAGAAACATATGAGATGAAAAAAGCGATGACTAAAAACAACATGAATTTTGTCTTGTTAAATGAGTTAAATGAAACTGAAATTGATCAAATAACAAATTATCCAAATCCAGATATATCATGTAAGTCAGTGTTTCCCAATCTTTTTTGTACCCATCAGTAAAGCTCAAGTACACCTCCAATAACACCACATGAAATGTGTTGCTTTTAACTAATATTATACTGATGTGATATTTAGCATTATCTATCTATCTATCCATCCATCCATCCATCCATTGTTATATTTCTCAAAAAAAAAAAAGAATATATATATTATACACTCACCCAGGGCCGTCGCTAGTGGGGTGAAAGGTGGTGACAATTATAGGGGCCCCCGCTGCCCAGGGGGCCCCACAAAATCCAGCAGTTATACTATTTAGGCCCCTGTTGTATGAATAATTCTAATATTTATATTAGTTGTATGCCTGAGATTTAAATGAAAACCACAAAAACGTGCAATTTGGGTAAATATTTTTCCAAATATCTGCTTCTCTTACCTCCATAAAAATGGTTTAGTCCGACCTAAAGTATTTATTAATTATTCAGTCAGAGTCGGGGACAAACATCAGACGGACCCAATAAAATTGTAAGTCCCACCCCAGCTCGTGAACAGAACCAATCAGAGTTGAGGCGGCAGCCTGAAGTTAACGATGAAGTTGGTGGAAGAGCAGGAGACTGACTGACTGAAAAATGTCGGGGAAAGAAAACATAAATCAGGTACCAGAAATGCCAGGAAAAGACGGAGAGGGAGGCAAGGAGAGTGGTTGTATCCCAGTCGATCAAGACGTTCTTAAAGTCCCACTCCGATCATATTTTTGAGCTATTTTTAAACATTCCCAGTGGTCTTTAAATTATGATTATGCCATTTTTAGCCAAAATCACAAAACCTGTGCCGTTTTCTGGGACTTTGCTTCAGCAGAGCGGCAGTAGCTCATTAGAAATTCGCCTCTGCGTTGTGGGCGGAGCCGTTGGCACGGAGACGACCCTCCCCTTCCCCGTTGCTGAGAGCTCTGTCTCTCCCGCTAGCTTAAATCCCCAAACTGTCAATACCGGTGCAACAAAAATGGAGAACAATATTGGAGCTATCCAGCCGTACAGTTTTGAGCCAGATGCCAGCTCGGACGAGGAACATACATAGATCTAGTCGTCGTCTACAAGTGGATGTATCAGAATGGTATTGTTTTTGTAATCTCTTGAATTGACTATTTCAGGCCAATAACTCCTAATAACATGTTAGTAAATAAATATGTTTGTGGACATGCTCCAAACATTTAGTCAGATTAACCTTTTTGAAGTTGATAGTGTCTTGATGGAAGGCACTGCATCCGGCTTCAAAAACAATTTATTGACGAAGCCCATTTTCTTCTCCTGCCAGTTGGTGAAACAGTCTTCTGTAAAGTGCTGAACGCAAACCGATGTGTGGTTTTTAACATTGCCGTGACCAAGGAACGTAATCCATCTATCTCTCACAGCAACATGTTTTGGTAAAGCATGAAAGCTAATACCACTATTTCTCCTCTTAGCATTGCAACCCGCTACCGCACATAGGTGTTGATCCGCCATCGTCTTCTCTACTCCTCGTCATCAGAACCTGAGCGGGCGTGGCGGGGAGTATGAGCTTGTGGCCCCGCCCAGTGGAGTTACTACGTCACAACTCCAGTCTATTTCAAACGGCATTTTTGCGTCTGCTACTGATTCACAGCCATTTGAATGTAGAAATACTCAGAAATACAACTTTGAGCTTATTTTTCTAAAGATATGTCCTCTAACATAAGAAAAATGCCACAAGAACATGTTAACACCTAGAAAAACATTATTTTCATCGGAGTGGGTCTTTAAAGACCGGTTATATATTGTTATTTCGCTGGGAATTAGAAAACTTCCGTCTACAGTCTGCCGTGTACAGTCATTTTTTATTATCGGTGCGCGCCGCAATCGACCGAATGATTACGTGGTCTAAATTCCTTTCTTTTTACACTATTGTAAATAGAGTTTTAAAAAAATTACACGAGTCACGACGCATTGCATTATGCATCTGACCTGCCGGCTGATGATATTTAAAACATCGAGAAAACACGAATACAACACACCGCACTTGGATGAATAAATGTATTCGCTTTATTTAATAAGACAATGAATGGTTTTATTTTTTTAGACTGCATTCCTGTCAATTTCTAAATGTTTACTTTTTGATTTATGAATTATAACAGACTGATGGGGAAAAAAATTATTACTTTTTAAAAATTGGTTTTATTATTATTTAACAATTTCTTGCTTTTTGTTAGTTTTTATTAGTTGTAATTTTTAAATAAACATTTAACTTTTAAAATAAAGGTTTTACAACAACATCACCATCTTCTGTTATATGGTCCTCCATGTTCATCTATTGTACAGTATATGATATTGGTGGAGGGTGGTGGGGGCCCACATCAATATTTTTTCATGGGGCCCCGAATCCTCTAGCTACGGCCCGGCACTCACCTAAAGGATTATTAGGAACACCTGTGCAATTTCTCATTAATGCAATTATCTAATCAACCAATCACATGGCAGTTGCTTCAATGCATTTAGGGGTGTGGTCCTGGTCAAGACAATCTCCTGAACTCCAAACTGAATGTCAGAATGGGAAAGAAAGGTGATTTAAGCAATTTTGAGCGTGGCATGGTTGTTGGTGCCAGACGGGCCGGTCTGAGTATTTCACAATCTGCTCAGTTACTGGGATTTTCACGCACAACCATTTCTAGGGTTTACAAAGAATGGTGTGAAAAGGGAAAAACATCCAGTATGCGGCAGTCCTGTGGGCGAAAATGCTAAACTAAACTGGCCCCCACAGTCACCAGATCTCAACCCAATAGAGCATCTTTGGGATGTGGTGGAACGGGAGCTTCGTGCCCTGGATGTGCATCCCACAAATCTCCATCAACTGCAAGATGCTATCCTATCAATATGGGCCAACATTTCTAAAGAATGCTTTCAGCTCCTTGTTGAATCAATGTCACGTAGAATCAAGGCAGTTCTGAAGGCGAAAGGGGGTCAGACACAGTATTAGTATGGTGTTCCTAATAATCCTTTAGGTGAGTGTATATATATATAAATTATGAAACTAAAAAAACTAAACAGTGCTACTGTTCCTGATTATGTACCAACAATTAAAGACAGGAAAGTGTGTGGTTTTAGTTGCAAGGAACACTTTATCCCATAAAATACAATTTCTGCCATTATTAAGTAAAAACCATTTAGTTCCAAATCTGTATGCTGTAATGGTTTTTTGTTTTTTCAATGGAACACAATTAATAATAATAATGATAATAAATACTATTTTGTGTGTTCCACGGAAAAAATAATATATGGGTTTGAAATTACACGATGAGTATGACTTCAAATTTCTTGGGTGCACTGTTCCTTAAATAGTGCGCTTCAGATTTAACGACTTAGTTAAACATGCACAAGGAGACATTCTGTACAGATAGCGTGATTCAGAGCTGATTTTCGGAGGTGAGACTGAGCCAATTATAACACTGCTGAATTATTAAATCTCTCTTTCTCCAGCATACACACACATCTCTCTCTCTCTC